GACTATGCCGACGACGTGGCCTTTTTCTCTTATGGTCCTGACCTTGCCATCACTACTGAAAAAATTCAAACACAATTGACCAAATTCTTTGAATGGACCAAGATGTGGAGGTCTGGCTGTAAATCACTTGAAGACAAAATGCATGTTATTTTCCAACAAAAAAGTCACAGCTATTCCACTGTACACTGGTGACTCGGCTCTTGAATATGTGAATCAACACCGCTATCTCGGCGTTGTCCTAGATGCCCCTCGGCTCCGATGGGAACCTCAAATTGCTTCACTTAGATCATCTTGTATACCTATTACCAACTTATTAAAGTCTATTTCAGGCAGACACGGGTGCAGACAGAGCTCGTCTGTTGAAACTGTATAGAGTGTTGATTCGCAGTCATTTAGACTATGCAGCTGCTTTTTATGCCTCTGCAGCCCCTACTAATCTTGGTAAATTGAACGTCATACAGAATAATTGCTTGAGAATTGCCCTAGGATGTAGAAGAACTACCCCGGTTCCATCTATGGAGGTCGACGCCCATATTCCACCTCTTTCTGTGCACTGAAAGGAAGTAATATGCAAATATTACTTTCGTCTCGTACAATTACCTCAGGGCCCTATAATAAATGAACTGTTTCTTCCAAATGTTCATCCCCCTTTATCCTGCAGGGCTTCATCCCAACCAATAAGTTTCATCTCCCACGCCCGAACCGTCATGTCAACCCTGTAGATTCCTGCTCCTCGCTTGCTTACATCTCCTCTTATATCTCCTATGCCCCCCTGGTTCAATACAGATGATTATTTTTCAGATCAATTTTCCACTGCTTCAGTATCAGTTACCTCTCCGGAGGCTGCCATACAGATTTTTTCGGAACTGAATAACTCTAAGTTCCCTGCTCACACAGCCATCTTCACGGATGGGTCACAGGTCAAGACCCCTGTGCCTTCCACATCAGCTGCGCTCTTTATCCCATCCAAAGGTGTTCTGTTGAGCTGGAAACTCCGGCCGGAGGTTGAGGTGATAGAGTCGGAGCTCTTTGCTATACGGGAAGCCTTGAGTTGGTCTCAGACAAATCTACTCATGAGAGAAAAAATTGTTATATATACTGATTCACAAGCATCTGTTCATCTGATTAAAAATAGTCAACCTTCATGCTACCTTTTCCTAATATTTCGAATTCAATGTAAAATTATGTCCCTAGCAGCCTCGCATGAGGTATTCACCCAATACATCCCTGGACATAAAGGAATCTCTGGCAATGAGACAGCAGATCAGGCAGCCCGGAATGCCCACTCTCTCCGATATCGCACCATCACCCCAATGTCCAAGGAGGAGCTGGTAAGACTCGCGCATGACAGGGTCCAGGCTAGCTGGAACCAATCCTGGCTGGAAAATGTCAACAACTCAGGCAAAGGCCAATTCCTCACAACCATAAAACATGAAGTAAGTTACTGGCCTTGGGCTCATGATAATAAACGTTCAATAGAGACTGCCTTGGCTAGGCTACGCACGGGCCATGCTGGTGTTGGGGCCCATTTAGCCCGCTTTAAGATGTGTGACAGTTCACTCTGCACTTGCGGTTCTCCTGAAACCATAGAACATTTGCTGTTTCACTGCCCTAAGCATGCCCCTGTGCGAGCCAATTTAACCAATACTCTAGCTCGGCTCAATATCCCCGTCACACTGCAGAACTTGCTTGGCGGGGGCACCTATCCTAGCCCCATCCAGTACTTAATAGTTGATGCAGTAGCTACATTTTTAACAGCTACTAACACCCTTCATTTACTCTGAGAAATCCGTTGGCTCTCTTAGTCCTGATTTAACTAACTAAAACTTGTGGGTAACTAACACTCGAATCATACACATTTACTTACTGCTGGCATTGATCTGAGTGCCTAATTTGATGTGAGCGGAAACACTCTCTGCAGTCTTTTTAGGAACTGGTTTTAGGACTTCTGTGTACCGCCGGTCGTGACTGTTCTTTGTAAAGTTTGTTGCTGTTCACCTTAAATCCATCCTTAATCTTTGATCCTTCAGAGACAGCCCACAGGAGTATTGTTTGTTTGTGAGGTAGCAACTCACAGTCCCATATTCTTAGACCAACTTGGTCAGAAGAAGCTCCAGGCTGTGCCGCCCAGGCTGGACCTTCGGTAGATTCCGCAATCTCATGTGAGGCATAGTGCAGGGCATGTCAGTAGCTACTAATCCGGGATGAATTATGAATATGTTTTTTTAAATCTTCTCATGCAAATAGTCACATATGTTATCTTACCTAATAGCAGCAATCTCCTAACCAGTCCGCTTTTTACAGTGTCTTATCCCTGACGTTTTTCCCACAGACGTGTGACACTTGAATACCAATGTCCGGTCGAGGGGCTACCTTCGACAAGTCTCCAGAGCTCCTTCCAAATTTCGACTAAAGAAGAAGAAGAAGTTGTTGGGCCCTGAATTACTTTGTAGCCACCGACTAACAGCAGGTTCACTCAATTCACTGTGTGGTACTTATAGCTGACGTTACAGAAAGATGCTAGACGTTGCATTCAGTGCTGTTTGCCACTTCGGACTGTTCAACATTGGACCTGCAACTGCACCGGTGCGCCCCGTGCCGTTTTGTGTTTTGGTATTGTCGCTATGGCTAAGCTATAATAATAGCGGTTTCAGCGTTTTGTAGGCCGTAGGCCTGTCGCCGATTCTTTACATTACAGAACATTCACAGCATTTTGCGTTCTCGAACTCACAACTCACTGCTACAATTCTGCTGCCGCCCGGCCTTTTTGCTCGGCTTAACCGCCCGGCCTTCTTGCCGATTCTGACCAGAAACTGGCGCGTAGAGCTGGGATCGATCCCGCGCCTCTCTGCCTAATCTTTGTACTCTTAACTTTAACCACTGGGCCACCCTGCTATGCTATGTTTACAGTTTCCTTAGTGTTCAGTAAAAATCATGATATAAACCTATTATTGTAACTTGTTTGTTCAAATGACGCTCAAATATTTGCAGAAAGATGCAATAAACCGTCTGCCTCTGGCCCTCTGCCTTACAATAAAAACTAATTAATACCTGCTACCAATACCATTCACAGTCCCAGAGAGTCACTCGCCGTATTAGAAGTACCGTCAAAAAGTAATAAAGGACGGTTTTTAGTGTTTTTCCTTAATAACTTCTTACCATGAAACATTTTATAAGCAAGTTTGGGCGCTCATTTTAAAGGTATTTGCAAGGGCTATTGTATGGCACCTCTGAAAAAATTTCATATGCTATTCGTAAGTGTAAGATGCCAGACGTAAAATAAAAGCCTCCTGAATCAACCCTGTGAACGGGTTATCGGGGTTAATAAGGGATCTTTGAAATAAAACTCGACTCTGAAATGTTTGAAGCATGCAGAGTGTCTGAGTGTGCTCATCCATTACTAACAGTGCTCTGAAGTCTGAAGTCCTCCTCTTCCTCTGTAGACTGTAGATGATGGAAATGTAGGATAAATAACATTTTCTGTGATTTTTACTTGTTTTTTTGTTTGTTGATATGATATTACCTTATCCATACATTGCCGTATCATTGATGTGATACGGTATTACCTAATCCATTCCATGGACATGCCATTGAGCATTGACAACAACCTTGTCCACTGCAAGCTTCATATACGCAGCCATGTAGCATTTCTTCTGTAGGTAAGCTTACAGGACGGCTTGTAATTTTGCACCATTTTAATTGAGTCAAGTGAATTCTCTATAACAAAAAAAAGATTGTAAAAAGTATAGGTACCTGAAACACAAAGGAATATTTTAGTGACAATCATCATACTTTTTTGAGAAAAAATCATAGTTTAGGTTAATTACTTTTCATTCTATTTTGCCCGGTGAACAATTCTATTTATGACATTCTATGCACAGTTTGGCGGTGACCGATGATGCACTAATTTTTTGTCAAGTGAAATTTTTTCGCTGAGCAAAGTAAATCTAATCAAAATTTTTTGTTGTTAATTGATTTTTTTGTTAACTGGAGCCTTTGCTAACTAAAGCTCTAGTGTAAATGCCTTTTTAGGGGTGTCCCTTATTATCCCAGGGGGATGTCCCTTATTACCCCGTCGTCTGGAAATGGCTGCCATTTTTTCTGGAATGAGTTTGATAATTCCATCAATCACATTTTTAAGCTAACACCTGTGTGCAACTTTTATGTAAGTAAAACTTTTTAATACGGTGAATATTTTTTTGCTACAAATCTTACTCTTAGCAAAGGTACTTTTCCAAAATCTCGCTTTTCACATTTTTTTTTATTTTTTAGACGTAGTAAATGCATGAATTTTTAACTTGCTTTCGGCTACATAGATAGTAAAAATGTTGAACTTTATGCCACTATTTTTTGTTTTGCAATATTTTAATTACTTTAGCTGCTACAACATTTCTATAAAATGTTGGAGGACTGTCCCTTATTACCCCGTTTGAGGGTATTTGCAATTTTGCATAGAACCCTGTACTCTGGTTTCTTTCTGGTAGAAATTATCCAGCAAAATGACCAAATTGAATAAAATTATCCAACTTTTAAATCTTAACTACCAAAGACAGCCTTTAAGTTATTATTAGTTATACTCTCAAAAAAGTTCATAGATTGGTTTGTTTATACTAAATTATTGACCGTTTACTTTAGCATGACCGTTTACTTTAGCATGCCTGTTTATGACTACGTATGACAAGTTGCCAAAATGATATTGAAATATGAGAAACAATTAAAACAAAGTTGTGCTTGAAACATGACAGTCATGACTCAAAGTCTCAAACTTTATTGCTAAAGCCATTAAAAATAAGAAGTGATATACCTATTTATTATATTAGATGCTGCAGAGAATTTGGGGCTTCCAGAATTTTTACCTGACAACCTATGCTTATCTGATATGTGATATGATAATTGTCAAGTTTTTAGCTGCAACTGATGGCAGTTGGAGACTGATGAAAGTGTTCTGGCTGTAGGTTTCTGATAGATTAGTTTATTTAGATCTGCAATAATTTATTTTCTGTTGGTGTCTTGGATTCTTGCAGAATTTTAAAACTTCATTACCTACATATACTTTTTCATTAACAGGTTGAATATTAATGCACAAGATACTTATGTATATATGTGCCTTTAGTGTCCAACACAACAAGTTTGATGAAGAAACTCTGTATTCTTAGACTAGTTTTATATTGCTCATAACAGTTAACTCCAAGATATTGACCAGATATGGCAGAGGTGATAAATAGTACAGCAGAGAAGACAGCAAATGCCAAGCAAGCAGCACCACGTGTAGAGTCATGTCAATTTGGGCCATGGACCTTCACTGCAACCAAGAGCCACATTATGGGATCCAAGTGTGACACCCCAGAGACATGCTCCTCTGCTCCACCTACCTCACCGGAACTTCTTTGTCAGCTCTGCGGGTCAGTTGTTGGTGCCAGAAAGAAAAATCGGTAGACAATATTTCAATTAGAAGTTAGGATGTGATTCTAATTTATGATTGATGTAATGACTTAAGTTGGAACTCAAAACCTAGGAAATCAAGTTTGAATAAAGTTCTTTGTGTTGTACGAAATTGGGTAATTTCTGTTATTTTTCTCTAGTTGATAAGGCCATATCTTCTTTGAACTAAATGCAAACTATTTTTACTGATGAGCAGTTTCATTTTTGATTCAAATTGTTTATGTAGATGTTGTTTAGTCCTTGCATGTTACTATGATAATAACCAAGTTTTTTCAAGTTGGAATATTGTGTTTTATTGCGGTTTTGATTATACATACCAATACTTTGGTAATGTTTGTATGACTACACTTTAGGAGACAATTTTCTATGTAAGGACATTACCGTATATATCTTGTAGTCATGGAGATCTGCTTGTGTATTAAATGATGGTAAAAAATTTTGGATGTAAATTCTTCAAGTCTACAGCAATTAATGACATCCCAATAAAGATATGTAATGTATATATGTACCTACAATAGAAAGCTTGCAAATAATCCCTTGTGTGCAAATTAGGAACACATTCTGTATTGCTCAATTTCCTATGATTGCTTCAGGTTTAACTTGTTGGTAGGCAAAGAGCATCTGCCTGACATGATCTTCAACAAGAATGTGTTGAGAATAGAACATGAGACGGGAGCAGCCATTGAGTTCAACGCACTGGATGCCCTCAGGGAGCTGCGGGATGTGGACCTTGACAACATCCAGGTGGCTCATGCCACCGAGTGGCAGGAGGCCAGGTACCTAGAGGCCCTCATACCATCAACTGGTTTTTGAGTATTAATTCTTTCAATTTTGCACCAATTTAGTTGATATTTTGATGCAACCATCAATAAAGTGTATTATAAGCTTTTCAAAGACTGTTGTTGCCATCTGAACTCTAGGAGGCTTTATTAGAAAAACTATTGCAATAGTTAGTGATAGTAATAAACGAGTATAGCATTAATAAGGCACATCTTTTTAGTCAGTAACAGACATATTTTAAATAATGAAGCATGTAAATAACTGAAAGACAAACTGCAATTTGAAGGAAACTCCAGGTTTGTTGCTGCAGTTTCAGTATGCCTGATGGGTAACATTTTCTGCCTTTGGCATTGCAAAGTCAGTTGAAGAAAGATTCACTATTACAATCGCTAATGAAGTGTCTTTTATCAGGAAGGATTGTGAGCACACCCAGAATGTAGTGTCCGGTTACGACTGGACCTACACCACCAACTACAATGGCAGCTTGAGTGGTGGCTTCTCCATACGCCCGTCAGACACAAGAATAGACATGCAGAAGCTCAGGGCAAAGGAGCCAATACGTTTTTTTCAGGAGCTTTACCTATATGAGGATGAACTTGATGATAATGGCGCCTCAAACTGCGTTGTCAAAATTGTGAGTTTTCTGGTGGAGGAGTAACAGCAATGTTTATGGTGCTCGAATACGTACGTAACTCATGTGCTATACATATACTATGTGATGCACATGTGTGTACTTTAGGTTCTATATTATATGATGCATGTATACGTACCTCATGAGCTGTACAATATGATGTACGCATACGTACTTAAAGTGCTATACTATATACGCTTGTGAGGGAGGCATTTCATGGCAGTTATTGATCAAAGAAACCGTTGTTGATGACACTGAGTGATGGTATGTTTTGTTGATGATACCAATGACAGTAGGCATTGCTGATGATACTAATGATGGTGCTGATGATACTAATGATGGTGCTGATGATACTAATGATGGTGCTGATACTCGTCTCATGACCTGCCCCTCGTCTCATGACCAGCCCCTCGTCTCATGACCAGCCCCTCGTCTCATGACCTGCCCCTCGTCTCATGACCTGCCCCTCGTCTCATGACCTGCCCCTCGTCTCATGACCCGCCTCTCGTCTCATGACCCGCCTCTCGTCTCATGACCTGGCCTCCGATGGTTATCTTCGCATAGATCGCGTGTTCTCGAGTCAACGCGAACACAATCCCACCGGTGTTTTTTTAGCAACTTCTTGAAGTCTTACTAAGTCTGGCAACTTAACCTGGTCTGTCCGCTCACTTCCCCTTCAAGGTTAACTTGAGCCCCGATCCTGCAGCTCGTCAGTGCGGTGATGCTGAAGTTCAATGTTGCTACGAACGCATTCCAAGTTTTAATGAATTTCACTGTCGCTGTCTGTAGGTGATCGTAGTCGCCATCTCCTGGACGAAATAAATAGCTCGGTATTAAAGACGAACCAATTCGTAATATTGTGATATTATTTGCATTGTGATCGACCTACGTAATTCTTGTCGAGCGGTGCTGTTGCTCCAGAGCGCGCAGCAGTCGAAAAAATTCCCGTTGTTGCGGCTCATCTTGCAAGGGAAACAAGCTCGAGAAACTGTTCAATGTATAGAAATATATACTTCCCTAAGAGTCATCGCGTCATTTCCTTATCAAGAGTCTCGCCGAGCAGCTGACCATTTCTTCAATGGCATTAAACGTGTCAATATGTGAATATAGAGAATTGATGCTCTCTGATCGTCAATGCTTGAACTTTAAATTTAAGCTATATGTAGGGAGAATGAAACGACCACTGATATAATGTTAAGCATGTATTGGTTTGTCCATTAAATTTTAGTTAAGCTAGGACCATTTTACGTAATTTTGTCTCACAAGGGGGGGGGGCGAAAGAAGGACTGCTTCCAAACCTGATAATTTGGTCGTACAAAATGCGTAGTGTCGCCAATGACGCATTTTTGTCATAGGGCGTGTCTGGCACTGCCTAACTCCAGGGGCAGTTCACAAAAAGTGAAATATTCTTAACAACTCAGCACGGCCTGCAATCGTACATTCAGAGAAATGAGACTGTGCCAAAATAGTGATAGACTTCTTACCCACGTGTGGGTCATCCTGACCCAGTTTAGCGCGATGAAAGAGCGTATAAGCGCTTTTTTTAAATGCGTCGCAATTTCGTAGCACATCTACCGGCTGCTGTCATACGACCATTTTAATCAAGAATACAAATAAAATGTATAAAAAAAATTTTTAAAGACCACGTTTTTCATGTAGACTCAAAAGTAGAAAATAATTTTTCGGCAGCTGCTGATCTCTGTTTGCTTTCATTCTCTTGGTCTTTTGTATTTCAGTTAAAATATTTTACAACATCTAAAACGTGGGGCGCATATGTATTTAATTGTTTGGTGATTACTTGATATGATGAATATGATGGTTCATTGAACATTTGATAAGTGTATTGCTGATATAATTCGAAATAGTGGTTGAATTAAAAATTGAAATTAAGGCATGCCTAAATGAAGATGAGCCCCACGTTTTTCGTTTTAGATGTTGTAAAATATTTTAACTGAAATACAAAAGACCAAGAGAATGAAAGCAAACAGAGATCAGTAGCTGCCGAAAAATTATTTTCTACTTTTGAGTCTACATGAAAAACGTGGTCTTTAAAAATTTTTTTATACATTTTATTTTCTACTTTTTAGTTTTTAAGTATTTTATTTTCTCATTTTAGTCCGTTGCTACACATGAAACACGTTGTTGCGAGCCAATTTACTTGACTTGATGTACGTATCGATGATACGAAGCGTATCATCGATATACGCAGTCTAAACACGAATATCCTCTCGAGGATGACGTGCATTAAAGGTTCCAACCCCTGCTTGTGAGTTCCTTTAGAGTTTATACGCCTGGAAACGTGCAACAAATTATTGATTATTGTATTGTTATCGGGAGCTGAGCTTCCCTAAAAGTTTCAGAGCGCTAGCTAATGGGAAAGTTGGTGAAATATCGATTGCAAGATTTGATCATCACAGACACGAAAGCGAGCTAAGAAAAACGTGGTAATAAAATGAAAAATACAACCTAAACCTGACCACGTGATCGACGGAGCGTAAGGAAAATATACCAACAACAGCACGGCGGCGACATTACGAGATTTATTATATTGAACTTGGGGCTAATCTGCAGCCGCTGAAACATATATAAAACTTATTAACTAAATAATAATTAAAGAGAATGGAAGACGGGAGATTCTGTTGCAATAACTCGTGGGCGCCGCGTCCATCTGCACGCCATGCAGGCAGCACCTCTCAAACTGGTCATTTGCTCCTATTTAAATATATTATTTAATTTAAATTATAGTTAAGTAATTAACAGTTTAATGTTAAGCCAGTCGAGTAAATTATTCAGTGCGCAAGAGGTAATTCGGTAATTGTTCGTGGGTAATGCGGGGGTGAATAAGTTAGCTTATAGCGACAAAAGAAAAGTGTTGAGATGAACGAGGTTTGCACTAACATTCTTATTGTTGAGCTGAGAAAGATGCGAGCAAACTTGCTTGATCAACATTGCTGCCACTAAATATGGCGTCAGTAATCCAACTCGATATTTTAATACGAGATTTAAGGTAACAGATTATTGCTATTTGCCCTGCTTGGCTAATTGTAAGTGAGGAGGGCACATCACGATCATCGTATATTACAAGTAGATAACATAAGAAGCAGCAAATACCATAACCTCATTACATAGCCTACATTGTGCAGCTAATATACCACATAACATTTCATAATTACAATCGCTTAACTTGGTACAACAAATTGCAGTTGTTGAACATTCATCAAAAACATTTAATTTGTCCTAGACCCCCAGATCGTTACGAGCAAATGGCCTCAACAAGGAAAAACTTTTAACGAACTCTCAAGTTCTAGACCAGCAGGCCCTGAACTCGACGGACCAGCGTCAGACCAACAGCTACAGACTAGTCTGCCCACTTACAAACTTACTTACAGACTAATTACTCTTAGCTATCTTAGAAAGAACTTCCTTAAAAAAGTAAATTTTCTTTTATTTGTCTTGGAAATGACATAGTTACAAAGTTTTATTTAATTTGTCTTAGTAGAAGCTTTAAATTTCCATTAAATTAGAACAAGTCATACAACAGGCGAGCCACAGGCAGTGAAACTGCCATCATTTAGAAGCAGTTCAGAGAAGTAGGAGTGAGCGAGTGAGACTAAAGAGTGAGTGAGTTGAAATAAAAATGCGTGAGTGGAGGAAGATGAAGAAAGTTGTAACACAGCGCCTTGCCGCGTCAGGGACGGTGCCACATCCATTATAAACTATATCCTTTGTATCAGTATAAAATATGTATCAGCATATATCCTATGTATCAGCATATCCTATGTACATTCAATGACTGCGTTTCTTTTGATGCGAAGGTAGACCAGCGGAGACAGATGGATGCTCCGACGGGCGTGAGAGGCTGAGACATGCGACGCTATTCAGTTCGTGTGTTATGGCGGTGGGAGAAGTCATAAGCTGTGGAGGGTGGGTGAGGTTGTGAGGAAGAACAGTGTCGTGATTGAGGAGGGAAGGGGGGATTTGACGACAGCTGGGAACCACACCCACACGAGAGGGCAAGTGGGACACATAAGGACATGTGAGGGCGCGCCAGCACGATGCTCGTGATGAAAATAAATAAAGAGGCCCACCTTCCTGATTAGCTCCGCTGAGTAATTATTGGCAAGGGTTGCGCTCTAAACATCCTTAATTCTTTTCGTAAGTAACAATTAAGTATATAACAATTATGTAAGTAACAACTACGTACATGTTCCTCCTTTAAAGTAGAGTTAATCTGAGAGGTAAGGATGGGGTGGAGCTGAGGCACATATTGGACGGTAGGAGGCCTTATGCAGGACTGTGCACGGTGGGGGGGACTATGCCAGACTGTAAGTAGCGGAGGAGAACCTAAGTCAGGCTGTGCACGGTGCACTTAAGCCAGACTAAAGACAGAGGCTAAGGACACAAACCCCTATGCCAGACTGCAGACTGTAGGGGGAAGGTTATGCCAAACTGTGGACGGTGGGGGGCTTGGCGTTACCGAAGAGGGGCATGGCCTGCGCTAGAGTGTTTTGCTGCATCATGTTGTAGGCGCAGTAGTAGGGCAGCTGTGTCACCAGCAGCAAGAAGTCCGTCACGTACTGCGGGGAGAGAGGGGAGGAGGGCGTCACAGGAGTGGTTACAACAATATTTAGTGACACATCAACCAAACTGGTGATGAGTTGCCACAAATTGGTGATACATAACCAACCACAAGAGGAGATTATGTGACAAATCTAAAGACATTAATGGTTGCGTCAGAGGAGCAAGGTTCGCTTTGTGACATCGAAATTTAGCATAATATTTACTAATAACTTAATGTAATTACAGTGAATATAAGTGCATCGTAATAAAATTCGGTGTATTTATTATGCAAGAAATTTATAAAAACTAGAACCTTTCACACGACAAAGGAGGGGGGGAAGAGGTTATTAATTTATATTACAGAATACAGATGCTGATGAGCAGGGTGGGTGGGGGGACATACCGCCAGGGGGGGGAAGCAGGTGCTGAAGGGGATGATGACGATGTAGAGCCACGCTGTGAAGCCCGACACGAACATCAGCACGAGGATGAGCAGCACGAGCCAAATGATGAGCCACAACACCCCGCCCGACCCCTGCGGGGGAGGAGGGGATCAGGGGGACTGGCAGCTTTGCAGGGGGTGGGGGAGACGGGGGTTACGAAAGTAGCTGCTTGGAATATTTATATTTCTGTGAACTTTACTTGTGAAAATATATAAGCTGTCACACGTCCGTCAAAACTGAAGATGAAACCTCAGAGGGGAAAATCTGGGCAACCTGGCAGTGGGGGTGGTTGAGGTGGTGATGTCATGGTATAAAACTGTAGTGGTGTAGTGATGATGAGGCATTAAAGTACTCGTTGTGATGGTGCAGCAACTTTGGTTGAACTGCATGTTGTTCAATAGGGCCAGTCATATATTGCAGAGAGGTCTTTGTGCAACCTCTCGCAGTCTCTCCTGTCCGTGATGGTCATTAATATCCTGGTGTCGTCCGCGAAACGATGCAGTGGCGTGGTTCACTGCCACATCTACGTCGGCGATGTGGATGAGGAAGAGGATCGGGCCGAGTACCGTTTCCTGTGTTACTCCACTCTTCACCCCAGCCACGCTCGATCTCGAGCCTCCAACAACTACAGCTTGTAGTCTTAAAATTAGGAAGTCGTGAATCAACGCACGATAATGCTAATCCTTTCACTTAAATTTCAGCATCAAGGATCTCTTTTCTTAAGTGCGACTCCGTTAATGCAATCATAGAGATGCCATCCTCGTCGGCCGCCGCCACACGCCAATCTTTGTGGAAAGAGCCCCTCGATGTTGGCCAGCAGGATGCCAGACTCTTCCCTTCTTGTTGCGCTTACCTGCAGCGACACCGCTCTGCCAGACGTCCCTGGGCTCAACAGCTGCTGCAGGAGCTTCAGTACCGGTAATGGTGGAGATGTGGTGGTGGTGATAGTGCAGTAACATATCTGTGGTGATAAGGATGAGGTGGTTGTGGTGATGAAGCATCAACGTACCCGAGGTGGTGATGATGTGGTTGTGGTGGTGGTGGTGGTGTGTGTCTCTGTTACACCGCCCATGCCTGCACCGGCCGCCATGTCCTGCACAGAGCGCACGGCGTTACATCATTGGGCTTTAATAAAAAGACAATAAATGAATTTAAAAGTTATTTCACAACTTGATATAAAAGACGTAGACATGTCTACGAGCTTCATAAAGCAAACAACCGAGGAATAATTGGAAGGGGACCAAGTTCTAAAAATTTGCTTGGTAGCGGCATCAGCGCCGGCTCGTCGACGTTACACACTAACCCGGTCCAACATAAATGTGGTCACAAAAACTTAGACAATTGCTATTAGGTAAAACAGTAATATTGCTTTAATATCTTATTAAGTGACAATAAAATCAATTACCAGAGCATGGAATTCACATAACGGGTACCCTTGACAATTAAAATGAACTCTGAATTTACAAATTAGTTGTCTGTTAAGGATCCGCGGAAGTGACCAATGGGTCCCACATGTCACCTTCACTCTATAGACAAAATTACAATAGCTTTGGAATAGAAATAAAGTTATAAATTTAATAAACTTGTAGTTTTGATTCACAGTTTCATTACATAGTTACAGGTTACACTGTAACCTGTTACACTGTAACACTGTAACCAGCGCAGTGGTTCCCAAACTTTCTTCAGGCTGGCGCCCCCCCTTGGCTCCCCAGTGAATCTCTAGGGCCTCTTTCTTGATATTTAGTATGCTGCAATTTTGAAAGAGAAAGGTTAAACACAGATCCCTGCAGAGGCCCTTACAGATCTTTCCTCCGCCCCCAAAGGAGCGATATCGCCCACTTTGGGAACCACTGGGTTACAGCTTTGCACCCGCCTTGAAAATATTTTGCCACAATAAGCGGTAATTTCAAAAGGCAAATTAAGGAGCTATATAAAGGGAAATATATTCAATATAAAGGAAGGGCGGAGTTCAAAATAAATAGTCTCTTCAGCATGTTAAAGAACCAAGCTCTCCATAACGTTCGAAAACAAATCAACATTATTTTAAATAAGTAGCAAAACCTCACAAGTTGAGATGACCGAGCCAAAGCAAAGGCTAAGTCTAGAATTAAATGTGAAGTCTAGTCTGTTCTAAATAAAAAAACATGAACATGCATTAAAAAATCGAAGAGGATCTCTAAAGGTAAGAATAGCAATTAGTAAGGAATGGCTTCACACACGCCCGAAAGAGCAAACATCGAAGGTAGTGTTCACAACCAAGACTAAATGCCATCAACACTATTTCATTTCCTAACTATATAGGATTATGATGAATAAGAAGTAGCACACTTTATACTCCAAAAAATTAGGAAAGTTTTAGCAACATCGTGCACCAGCTGTACACCTGCCGCCCTGTGCACCAGCTGTACACCTGCCGCCCTGTGCACCAGCTGTACACCTGCTGCCCTGTGCACCAGCTGTACACCTGCCGCCCCTGTCTCTTATACACATCTAGATGTGTATAAGAGACAGACGCGTGACCCACGGCACCCACGCGTGACCCACGGCACCACGCGTGACCCACGGCACCACGCGTGACCCACGGCACCACGCGTGACCCACGGCACCACGCGTGACCCACGGCACCACGCGTGACCCACAGCACCACACGTGACCCACAGCACCACGCGTGACCCACAGCACCACGCGTGACGCGCGAAGACGTGTCGTCTTCACACGCGACGGACTGGCGCGAGGTCACCCCAACCTGCCGTGCATGAAATCCTGACTGTTGATGCTACGTGAGAATCGCTTAGTGGTTCGCGCTATTTCTCGTGAACTAGATTCGCGTACTGAGAAATATATTCACGAGATAGCGGCTTCCAAAACGTATGTTATGTGTCAGCTTTTGCAACTGACTACCAGCTGGTTGGAAAATTTGAGAAGTTTTTTTGGTTCTTGTTCCAGAGCTTACCGTTCATTCTTTTCGAGTTTCTGTACGTAAAAATATGCACAATTTATTTCATTGTCAGACCCAGTTGACCTTCAGGAATATACCAGGGTTTGAGGAAGGAAAGAATTTCGACACGGACCATGAGTCCATGATGGATGGAGAATGTAAATGGTTATACTAAATAGTCTATTTAATATGTCCATGATAATGTATATATGCAAATATGCAATCCACGCCATTGATCCATGGTAAATAACCTTTTTATGGCAATCAAAGTAAAACTGTGGCGCATACTCATCAACAAGAAGGAATTCCATAAATGGTGGTTCTCAGAGTCAAATCGTTCTAGTATGTTAATTTATTTAGTTCGAAAATATTAGCTAAATATCAAAGCCTAAAAGAAAATCTAGTATCAAATTTTTTTCAAGTTCCAATATGTTGTGTGCACTTGTTGATCATTACCCTTTCTGAAATCTACCCTGACCTCCTGAACACTGATTGCTCAAGACGTCGTCTCCAGTTTAATGGTAATCTCGTATGAATTTGCAATGAGGTCTTCAGGGGGAGTGTGAGGGCGGCGTGTGATCAGCATGCGACTCGAGACACGCAGCGCCGCAGCCGTGCGGTTGCCCGCGCCTAGGCGTAAGAAAGTGAAAGCGATAGCAAAAAATGTAGATAATAAACTGGTATCCTGTCCTGGCTTGACGTCAGTCCTGCATCACGGACTGGCCACATTGCCGAGCCTAATCATACCGACGCTTCGTAGTCTGCATGAGAAGTTTGTGGTGAAACTTTTGAAGGGATCGAGCTGCCAACTCGTGTAGGTTTTCCAGTCCATTGGCATGATTGAGGGAAGTTAACAATAAAATTAGGCATTACATGCGCACAAACGGACTGCAAATTCTGTACCAGAAATCCACAATCGTTGATTTATCATAATTAAATAAAAATAATGACGTAAGATTATTAAGTTTATTCTTACTAGTTATTTGCAGATATGGAGAAGAAATAGTATCCCAACGTTATTGACTACACCTTCGTACTGACACAGACAGAATGCCACTGAAGCAGATGTACAGTGTACACTATAGAGCCAGTAGCAGCAGCAACAACCACACTTGTCCGGTGAGTTGCCAAGAGTCACCAGATGAACTATCAGCCACGGCCAACACTTGTGTGCAAAAACACGTTAGGAATTCTTACAACGCTATTAATTAAACATACATAAATAAAAAAGACTAAACGACTACACACTTTATCCTTTTGTTTATTGTTTGTGCTGACATAGAATATTCGCATTCACTAAACTCATTCATATTTAATCCAAATTTAGTCAATCCCTGCGTTTAGCGATGGTTTTAGATATAACGTATTTATTAGCAGGTTGAGATGTTCACTTAAATATGCTATCTGAAAAATTTCCTAATCATATTTGTTTGAATTTTAATATTTTGTTCAGTATTTTGACGTTTCGGGCGTTTTGAAGAGGATTCGCGCAGAATGTTTCCCTGATCAACACATGGAAGATACCGCGTCGAGTTCCAGGACCTGCATGACCAGTGGCCTGGGGCTAACGAACCCCCAAATTGCTTGCTGGCAGCGAATCAAATTCACCGCAAAACATATTCAACTAAAAGTACATGACACATTCAACGATTTTATTGGAGCCTTGCAAAGCTGACACATGCTGTTTGCATGATCTGCTATCTTCCGTTGCTTCATAAAACTTAATTCATGCAACGCGTTTGTCCGCGTCATCAAGTATTGAATAGATACATACATAAGATCTATATAAACATAAAGTAGAATAATGTAGAGCTCGACCAGTGGCGAGCGCGCATGGTGAGGATGTCACCACATAGTGCCATGCGGCTGCCATCAGCATCATAACAACCACCACCATTGCAATAATCACCTTCATTTTTATCGCCATTATGAAGACTATACAAACCACGAATATGACTTCAGTATGGGGTACCACAGACAAAGTCGAAGCCAAACACGACCGGTCTTGAACCTAGCCATTCATGGAGCGTAGTTTGAATGTACGTGAATTAATAATTGATTAAATAATAAATCCACTTGATAGTTAGAGCACTAGTGTTTATATGTCTATCATGTCTATAAGAATATTGGATCAGCTTAGTGCCTGTTGGGCGGGAGAGTTAGGGACCTTATGGAGTTTTTTTTTAATGTGCGGCACACAACTTGTGGGCACGAGACTTCACTAGGGCCTCTAGTACAAGTCTCGTTGGTCAGATCATTAAATTATCTCAAATTAATTAACTATTTTAAGAACAATCACATCATTCCAGTAACGAGCAAACATGCGACACGCATCAATAATCGTTCGGGAGTACGGTCACGGCCAACAGCGGCAGCAGCAGGAGTACGGCATCGAGCCGAGAGCAACATCATATAGGCCAAAATAAAAACAACAATCTTAAAATACGGCTAATATAAACTCTACAGACGTGCCGACGATAAAACATCTCTAGACGCGAATAAATTACGGTTATGATGGCAATGCGTCTGCTAGTGACGGTCTCCTGGCGATTACAGACGTTGATATCGTAAACCATACGGACATCTGAACGGCAGAGGAGCTCGTAATGAAAACCACTTCCCGCTACGTACGTTGCATTACTTTAATGGACAACACTGCTGCGATTAATTTCTAAATTAGTTTCAATTTAAACGTGACAATTCCAAGTTTTCTCGTAAGCTAACCAAATTCTATTCCGATGACTCGCGTTAACTGCCTTGTATCGCTGCAGATTTGGAGGACTTACTGCTTGACAAGAACTTTCCAAATTTGGCTGAAATAAAGAGGAAGGGCTTAGCTCTGAAGCTTCAAGTGACGTTGAACCTAAATTCAGCACCTGACGATGGTGACTCAAGGTACGCACGTGTCAGGTGACAGCAGGTGAGATTATTGCTATGGGGAGGCTTGACGAGCAAGTCAATGCCCACCTTGTTGAACAAAGAGATGTCGATATATTCGACGATGAAAATGAACAACAGTGTTCGTACGAGTTAGATGTGAAAACTAAATTGAAGGTTTTGTATCGGAAACTTTCCGAAAAAGTGATCAAAACTAAGCCTAATTATTCTGAAATTAGATGACCTCAAATGGATTGTGTTACCTATTTTGGAGAAGGGACTTTCCATCAGGTATATCTTACATTTTAGACGCAATTTATTAATATCATTGGGCTACAAGATAATCTCACTGCTTCTGTTACATTCACTTATTCGAAATAGTATCTAAGGGATATGCTTCAAAATTATCAGTACACCAGAGCATCGCAGATGAGAATTATTCAGTCGCCCTGGCACTCCTTAAGAAGGAATTCCTGAATTCAAACTGTATTTTCCATCTCCACCATCACACTACTACTACACATCACAACACACAATCACCTTCACAATACAACACATCCACTTCACTGGCCTAGAGCGGAGGGCCATACAACGATGGTGGCGTCATCTGTACCGCCGTCAGCAAAAGGAGGGAAAATGACAACAAGACTAAATAATGACATGGCACTTTATTTTTGCACATCACTAAGATTACTGCCCAGGAAGAGGGGCTTCAGTACAGGCGGCAGCCGCAGCGAGCTCTTCACCACAAGGTTGACGCTGCCGAGGCGCTGGGGGCTGAGGGGAGTCACTACCTGCAGGTTATGCGCCTTCAGGTCCACAGTCAACACCACCCCCCAGCCCACCACCGCGTACTGAGGTCTCGTGGTTCTTACGGCCAGTGGGTCTTTGCTCGGCTGGATACTCACACCTGCCGGCAGAGGAAGCAGGGAGCACCTGCTGAAGAAGGAGAAGTGAGAAGGTAACCTCACGTGGTTCGCGGATTGGTGGTTATCTTTGTGATTGGTGTCTGGGATACGAGCTGGTTTGTAGCCCAGGGGCAGGTCGTCGCTGATTTCAACCAAGTTGTCAACGTGAGTTGAGCATAGAGCCACCAGCTCGCCACGGAGATGGGACCTAAGCACCACCCTGAGGTCCTCGGCGTAGGTCACGTGAATCCCCACACGAGAGAAGCTCAGGGTCTTGGAGGGCGGCATCAGCAGCCGCCCTCCCCTCACGTGCGACATAGCGCCGCTGAAGTAACAAATGGTGTTCAGGTGACGGAGGTCAGAACGGAAAGGACGAGGTACGTCAAATTTCTTCCTTGCGTAGCGCCTCCTCGAGCTGCCGGCCTGTACCTGGCAGTACTGGTAGTCGAAGAAGTGATGGTAGGACAAGGGTGTGACCCTTTGTTGGAGGCAGGTGGTGACGAAGTCGCTGCTGTTGTGATAGTCACTCATATTGTAGCAGTCGAGGCTATCGTCCTTCTCAGTGCAGACCTGCAGCACAAGCGTGGGCCTCACCAGCTTCAGGATCTCAGCGAGCAGCACAAGGCCTTCGTTTCGGATCCACCCCATGGTGTTCACAACCAGGGGCACGTCGTGGTGGCTCTGCTCCACTGTCTCCATCAGCTCCTTCAACAAGTTAAGATATTCGGGCAGGTGGTACAGAGCACTGGTGGAACCCAGGATCAGCTGTTTCACTTCATCCCCGACCGGCTCCATCTGTGTCTCCCACTCCATTTCTTCGATCATTTCTTGCAGATCTTGGAGCGCTGCCAGTCCCGAGTTAGGAAATTTACTTGCCTCTGGAATTACAGGAGATGATTTTTTACCAAATTCTCTGCCGGGAGCTTTTTTGCTTCTCAGACAGGTTTCATAGTCGGTTTCCATAGGTTCATATCTCCTAGTATCGTCTCCTGGGGCGTCAGTCCCCTTACTCAGTCCCCCACTAGGCACCTCAAGGCCGAGTTTTCGTCGCAGTTTGTGCAGGAACTTGCGTCGCGTTTGTAGCCTGCTAACCATGGCAAGTTTATCCTTGCTGTCCATCCTGCTCCTGGCGCTGCTGTAGATGAACCCAGGTCCCAGCAGAGGACGTCGGACGCGTGCCACAGACAAGGTCCCAGGAAGCCCCACTTCGGGCTGGCCACAGTCCAGGTCCAGCAGACACACCCCGCCAGAGGAAGCGCCCTCACGAGACGACCTCGCGTCCAAGAAGGAGTTGACGCAGTAGCGTACGAATGTCGATTTGCCGAGATCCCTGGCGCCCACAACCAACACACGCAGGCCTGAGCGCAGTAAGGAACAATTATATCAACTATTCAGGGCTGTTGTATGATAAAACATATACAGTGCATAAATGTACGTGTATGTTATACAAGTGACATTCACTTCGAATTCATTTATTGATTCCATGCATCAGACCTTATCTTATTACTAAATCTTATTCAACTGTTCTTCTTGGCATCAAACAGTAAAAATAAAAATAAAATATAAGAACAAACACATTTATCCTCATATCTTTTAATTTAGTTACAAAAAAAGCTTGGGGGAAAATTAAGATGACACGGGGCTCACCAGGCTGAGTCGGGGATGTCTTGGGAGCGCATCCCCAAGCAAGGTCCCCACGCTGGACCATGTTGGTAGCCCAGCCCACCACCTGCGAAGAAGGGAGGGTAAGACAGCTACAGGATGTAGTAATTTCGAACCTCACATTAAATAATTAATTGTCACTTCATGTCTTGCGAGCATAAGGTCATTATTAGTAGCTAGAGCTTTAAAAATTTCAGTGAATGTAAAGATCGGTGGTTGTGAACACCCACACAATTATGGCTGAACCTTGCAGGCCACGGCAGGCCACAGCAGACGCCAACGAGCTCGGTAGCTCAGTATTAGCTGGAATCTAATCTGACGTCGGCTCATGTTTTGGACTTCATTTAAATACCAATATTGAATATCTTGCGTATAATGGCAATATGAATGAAAAGAGACATTCACGGGACCTGAGGAGCAGGTCCTGCTCTGCACTGGTTTGGCACTAGCTCGTAGGGAGCACTAATTCGACATTCGAACTAGCTCATGAAGTGAGCTAGTGTCGAACAAAGCTCCTGATAAGAAAATCAGCCTCCTGAAGGTGTGCTGGTCTGCTCAATAAAAGGTTAAATATCTGACGGTAATATGCCCCTCACCTGCCCCCAGCCCCTAGGCACGTCCACCACGGGCCCCGCCTCCATACTGGCCATCACGGGCTTCACGCCCTCCAAGGCGACGTACCAAGCGAGCACGTCACACGGGCCCGGGTCTGCACCAGCTGCGTCAGGGTCTGCACCAGCTGCGTCAGAGTCTGCACCAGCTGCGTCAGGGTCTGCACCAGCTGCGTCAGGGTCTGCACCAGCTGCGTCAGGGTCTGCACCAGATGCGTCAGGGTCTGCACCAGCAGCATCAGGGTCTGCACCAGCTGCGTCAGGGTCTGCACCAGCAGCGTCAGGGTCTGCACCAGCAGCACTGCTCCCAGGGTAGAGGATAAGGGGGTGGTGGGGGTAGTGACAGGGGTTGTTGGGGGTGAGGAGTGGGTGACGGAGGTTGTAGGTGGTGAGGAGGTAGTGACAGGGGTTGTTGGGGGTGAGGAGTGGGTGACGGAGGTTGTGGGGGGTGAGGAGTGGGTGACGGGGGTTGTAGGTGGTGAGGAGTGGGTGACGGGGGCTGTGGGTGGCAAGGAGTGAGTGACGGGGGCTGTGGGTGGTGAAGAGTGGGTGACGGGGGCTGTGGGGGGTGAGGAGTGTGCAGAGAAGGCATTATAGGAAGGGGAGTGGGCACTCAACTTCATGTCTAGATATGAAGTGGAGTTGCTACAGGATGAAGAGTGTTGATCAGAGGTTGAAGGGAGTGGTGAATGGAGTGTAGAAGGGCGGTGTTCAAACTCCTGCCCTGTGGCATCTAAGGGCAGCAGGTGCATGAGAAGTGAAGGCTTCTGGCAGGCAAAGAGCACAGAGGGCAGGGCAGTGGAGTAAGCCGTCAACTCCAGCACCACTCCTTGGCATCCCTGTGGGGGGGCAGGAAGTTTAGTATGAGTACAGCTTGCTTAGGACAACAAGGCTGTTATTAAACTCAAGCTGTCATACATGACAAAAAAATTGCATCTAACACCATATAAAACCTCATTATTTAATGAGGCAATAAAAAATGACATGTCTGCTTGTAAATTCACACAAGTATAACTGATGCAAAAATTTAATCGTCAGTCAATTTTTATAGAATTCAACCAATATAAACATTAAAGATTAAGAATATCATTATATCAATGTAATTGACTGGTACAAATCATGTCCCCTTACAACTTAACATGAGCTATGCACACATTTAAAATATTTTGCCTCAAAAGAAGATAAAAAACATATATATTTGGTTGATTTGTTGGTGAATAGAATAAAAAATGGAGGATACTGACTGGCTTCAGTTGTAGAGCAGCAAACTGGTCCTTGGATAAGAAGTAATCTTGCTTAAGCTGATGGACATCATCTGTTAAAGTGATGCAGCCACAGCTTGTGGAGTGGGAAGCTCTAGGATAAGCAGCGCATGACACAGCCAGCATGGCATGGTGTCGGGGAGAGAATACAGGCACTTGTTGACCAGTGGGCACCTGGTAACCGAGAATATGGATGGCACCTCTCACAGGCTTGACACAATACAGCCCATCCACCACCAGCTGCTGTCCACACTGCAGGTGCACAAGAACTTTCTTCCATCGCTTGCCAGCAATGCAACTGCCTGAGAAGGTTGAGTACCAAGGCCTCACTTCTTGGTCAAATTCGATTTTGCTGGAAATATCATCGTCAGCATCTAAGTTGCTGAAGTCACTGTTAATTTGTCCTGATGGGTCTCCATCAAATTCATTAGAATTGTCTAATTTCATACGTTTTGGAGGAGGAGGTTTGAGGTTCATAATGATATATTAGCTGAAAGACAAAGGCAAATGTTAAGTTGATAAAAAATTATTTTTATTATGTAAAATGAATAAACAAAATGGAAGATGTTACAGAAAATCAAGGGTTTAAAAAATTTGTGACTGGACAAACCACATCCCAAAATTATCCATTAAAGAGCACATCCAGTCAGTGGAATCTAAAAAATTGAGCTTAAATTCTCAAGTAAATCCGTTGATTGAGAAAACCAAAAAGATGATCTCAGAATGAATTAGGCAGTTACATTTCTGAAGAAAATTCAATGAAAATAGAGAATATTGATGGCAAACACCCTGACAATGATGCCAAACTGGAAAATTAGGCAGAAGCTACGCTGAGCATGAAACAAAAATTCAATGCTTGCAGACTCTTCAGACAGTAAAATATAGCATAACATAGGTTGAAGAGGCCAAAGATGCCAACATATAATGAAGGCTAATGGTGCTCTCTAATTGCACTTCTCCATGACTGTAGGGATCTTAGCTTAACATTCAGGGGTACTTTAGGAAACAGAGGGAGAATAAGAACTATAGTAGCCAATGCGTGGAATGTAGAATAAGTTAAGATGTTGACAATCCCGTAGCAGCGTACAAATTCAGAGCAGACTTGTTTTGGTACATAAGCAAGGACTAGTTTGTGAATTCAGACAACTGCAGAGGTATGTGTAATATTCTAGAGTTGAAGGTCAATATTATATAAATATAAATTCTACTGTCAATATTTATCAATTTGTATTTATTATCTGTTTGTTGATACTATGTGAGCTATCTAGTAGGAAAATTAACTGACTGATTGTAAATTTGATTTTGTTCATAAAGGGAAAAGTCAACCTGGATAGAAGATCACAAGAAGCTGGTACATCTTGATTGGTTTTTGTGCATATTGAACTATAATATACTTTGTTGTGTGGAAGTGGAACTATATGTTCTCATTGTTCTGTGCTGTGCCCTAGCATATGAAAGAAGAAACAGTTCTGTGCAATGACATTATGCTCTGAACATATGTTCACATCAAATTTTATCAATGTTCTTATTTCAAGTGTTCCCTTTTCATTTAGATTAAAGTAATTGTGTTAACAGGGAGATCTTTATTGAATCTTGGCACAAAAGATCATTACAATGGCATATGCAATTTACAATTGATATGACCTACATGCAAACATTAGGGTAACAGAAACACCAAACCACAAATTATTGAACAATAGCGAATAGATAAATACATATTTTGTGATAAGATATGAACTCCAATTCAAGGTTAAGATGGCCTGTTGTAGTGCTAGAAAAGATGCCAATATCTTGAGCTAAAAGATTATACTTTATAAGTTTACAGTTTGGTACATGTTCAATCCTTTGCCCCTTTAATGGGTTTTACATAATTTCTTAGGTAAAAATTGAGTTAAATGAAATACTTTTGACATATAACAACTTTTTAAAATTACCCAATATTCTAAATTTGTAAAACAGATTTATTGTATAATTATTTTTCTATGTGAATAATATTTAAAAAATTACAAAATAAATTCCCCAACCTGTTCCATATTTCTTTAATCAATCCAGAAAATCAGGCAATTTCACAACGTAGTTTTAAACCAAAGATATTTTAGAATCAGTTCATTTTTAATTTCCTCATTTAATCAAGATTTAAACAAATTTCTTATGTATGATAATGCTGGTGTATCTATAATACTTTACTGGTCTACTTACATTACAAGACTCAAAACTGAACTTGAGGACTTGATGAGTCTAAAAAAAAGTCTCTGCAGAGTGCAGACTCTGCTTTGCCACTGTAGGGCACTGTGTTTCACAGGTTACTGAGGTTAGGTTAACAAGTTCACAAAATATATTTCACTATTTCTAAAACATGTTTACATTTTGTAATTGTGAATATTAAGCTAGCATTTACCATTTAGCGTCAGTGGCACACACTTTCTGCCCGTCTACTGATAGTGTGCAACATCCATGATCTGATGATCAAAAGTGGGCAGTAGCGCGCTCCATGTAGCGGCCACTACATTTCCAGTAGTGGTAGCTGTAGCGGTGCTACATTTAAAGCAATGTAGCGGTAGCGCCCGCTACATATTTAAGTAGCAATATGAGGTTTTACCGCTACAGCGCTACCGCTACATTTATAGATAAAGACTTTAGATTTTACTTAATAGTATTAAATATTCTTTAAAAACCAGCATGATACATAATATAAATTACAGAATAAAACTGTACAAAAGATTTCGGTGTAATGTTGTCAACCTCAGCCTATTACTAGTGTCAACATGTTAGTTTTTACTTGTTAAGTTGTTACCAGTTACCACTTACAGGTATTTTTTCATGTTTCAGTTTGCTTACAGTTATTTTTACACAGTTATTTTTATGTTTCACCTTCCCTACATGGAAGTCTACTTTAATCTACCAATCTCAAAAATAATCCACATAATAATAATAATATATATACAAATAAAAGACTGATTTTTATATGTATATGTGGATAATTTTTTAGGTTGGTAGATTAAAGTACACATCCATGTAGGGAAGGTAAAACTTAAAAATAACTGTAACTTTTATTTAGGGTAAACGCAGTACCAACAAACGGGGTAAAAAGGGACGGAATTGAGCATTTTTTGTTAATAACTTCTTACCATGAAACATTTCAGAAACAAGTTAAGGCTCATTTTATAGGTAGCTCTTTGCAAGGGCTATCCAATGGCATCTTAAAAAAAATTTCATATGCTATTCGTAAGGTGCCAGACGCAAAATAAAACCGTCCCGATTTACCCCTCAAAGCGGGGCAATCCGGGACACTTGCAATAAAAGTTAATTTTAAAACATTTTAAGCATGCAGAGTGTACTCATCCATTACTAACAATACTCTGAAGTCCTCCTCTTTCATTGTAGATGATGTAGATGTTAAATAAATGACATTTTCTGTGATTTTTACTTGCTTTTCCTTTATTGATATTATATTACCATATTCATTAATTACCGTAATATCAATGTGATATTACTGTATCCATGGACATGCCATTGAGCATTGACAACAACCTTGTCCACTGCAAGCTTCATATCAGCAGCCATGTAGCATTTCTTCTGTATCTATAAGCTTACAGGATGGTTTGTAATTTCGCACAATTTTAATTGAGTCAAGTGATTTCACTATAACAAAAAAGATCAAGGCGTGAAAAACATACCTGAAACAGAAAATAATGTTGTAGTAACAACCATCAAATATTTTGGAGCAATAAATCATAGTTTAGGTCAATTACTTTTCATTCTATGATGCCCGGTGCACAATTCTATATATAGCATTCTATTTAAAATTTTGTGACGACCATTGATGCACTAATTTTTTGATAAGTGAATTTTTTTGCTAAGTGAGGTAAACATAATCAAAATTCTTTGTTTTTAATCAACTTTTTTGTTAACTGGAACCTTTGCTAACTGAGGTTCTACTGTAAATGCATTTTTAAGGGTGTCCCTAATTACCCCGAGGGGGGGGGATGTCCCGAGTAGCCCCGTTGTGCGGAAATGGCTGCCATTTTTTTTTGGAATGAGATAGGCAAATTCAGTCTATTACATTTTCAAGCCAACATCTGGGTGCAACTATTATGTAAGTAAAATTTTGTAATACGGTAAATATTTTTTTTTGGTCCAGACCTTAGCAGAGGTACTTTTCCAAAATCACACTTTTTACACTTTTTTTCAGCAATTTTTCAGAGATAGTAAATGTTTGATTTCTTGACTAGCATTATACATAATAGATAGTAAAAATGTTGAAGTTTATGCCACTATTTCTAGTTTTGCAATATTTTGATTAGTTTAGCTGCTACAACATTTCTATGAAATGTCAGAGGCGCGTCCTGATTTACCCCGCCTGTCCCTTTTTACCGACATCATGGGTACTTTAAGAATGTAGCATAAATGAATGGCAATAAAAAATATACCGTACATGCAACTCAAGTTCTGTTTGCTTTACATCACTCTCAAAACACCGCACTACATGCCAGCAACAATGAAACGTCACAAAATGTTGCCATATTTATTTAACAGCATTTAGAATACAAACCTACCAAATCCATATATATTCAGACAGTGTGTTACTAAATTTGGCATTTTGTGAGACTAATTCTGGCCACGCTTCAAAGTTCAAACTCTACTAATTCGTAATGCTGACACTCTTGTGTTCGAATTCTGATCGCTGTGTGAGCTGTATTGGAATACGACACAGCTTGGAATTGGATCTCAACATTTTCCTGCCAGACGGCCCCCGGGCCCAGACCCAGTGTTTTGGCAATAGTATGGCACGCAAAAGTATGATGTTACTATTTCAACCATCATTGAATGCATGGAACTAAGAAAAAGCTTAATATAAAGGAAAAAGTCAAGAAGTGTCAGAATTACCCATGATGTCGGAATATACCACATTTATCCTACTGGTACTGTATCTAACTCGTTCTAGTTTGATTAGGTTAATTGCAATCAAGTTGCATTGATTATTGTTTTGAAAATGTTTTATTATCATTAAATGCTTGTGAGTAAATCCCAATATCAGAACAATAAATATTTAGAGATTTCTAATAATTTTGGTCATTGAAGCGGCTAATGTAGTGGCGCTACATTTTACTGTAGCAGTAGCAGTGGCGCTCGCTACAATCTAGTGGGTGTAGCAGACTAGCAGTAGCACCCGCTACATTTGGTCCAGCATGTAGCGGTAGGCTCCGGTAGCCATAGTGGCAAACCAGATTTTTTAGAATCAGTTCATTTTTAATTTCCTCATTTACTCAAGATTTGAACTAATTTTTTAAGTATGATAATGCTGGTATCCCACTGTGCAGTGCAGAGAGTGAACAAAGCGACGCATTATCGGCAAAATTTTCGCCTTCAGAAGATCTTGCCGACACATTTAGATTGAAATTCTTGCATTTAATATATTTCTCAGTCTTCAGCCAACTATTTAGAAAAAAAGTAAGGTTTCCGGTACGTTGGATGGA